GGCGCCACGTGAGTGGCACGACACACTGAGGACTACACTTGCGGCTCTTGGGTTTGCTCCTTCTACTGCGGACCCGTCGCTGCTTCTGCGCACCGACACCTCTCTGCCGCCGTTCTACATCCTCGTGTACGTCGACGACTTGGTCTTTGCCACAGCTGACACTGCTGGACTCGCCTACGTGAAGTCCGAGCTGCAGAAGAGACACACGTGCACTGACTTGGGTGAACTGCGCAGCTACCTTGGCTTGCAGATCACCCGGGACAGAGCACGCCGCACCATTACCCTGACTCAGTCACACATGGTGCAGCAGGTCCTTCAGCGCTTCGGCTTCACGTACTCCTCGCCTCAGGCCACTCCTCTGCCTACTCGCCACTTGCTCTCAGCTCTGCCTTCGGATGAGTCCGTAGAGTCGAGTGGCCCGTATCCAGAGCTTGTTGGCTGCCTCATGTACCTGATGACCTGCACACGACCTGACCTTGCATACCCTCTTAGCATTCTTGCACGCTATGTTGCTCCTGGGAGACACGGACCAGAGCACATGGCTGCAGCAAAGAGGGTGTTGCGCTACTTGTGCAGTACGTCAGGCATGGGGCTAGTCCTTGGAGGGCGGAGTCCAGTGGTCCTCACTGGGCACGCGGACGCTTCTTGGGCTGACTACCAGGCTACGCAGCGGTCGTCACAGGGTTACACCTTCATCCTTGGTTCCGGTTCTGTTTCGTGGCGGGCTACTCGCTCGTCTTCTGTTCTCGGCTCCAGTTGTGAGGCTGAGATCTACGCTGGGGCCATGGCTGCACAGGAGCTTCGCTGGCTCACCTACCTGCTGACCGACCTTGGAGAGCCGCCTCGTTCTCCTCCAGTCCTGTACGTAGACAACAAGGCCATGCTGGCCTTGTGTCGAGAGCAGCGACTGGAGCACAGAACAAAGCACATTGCTCTCCACTACTTCCTTGCTCGTGAGCTACAGCAGCGTGGACAGTTGTGGCTTGCGTACGTAGCCTCTGAGGCCAACACTGCTGATGTCTTCACCAAGGCTCTTGCACCTTGTGATCATCAGCGCTTCTGCACTCAGCTTGGTCTTGTGCCTGTCTTTCCTCACTTGCTCACTGCTTGACCTTGCCTGTACTGTCGCTTATATATACTCTAGCTCTTGCTTGTTTGTCCTCTTATATATATACTTGCTCCTGTATGTGAACTGGCCCTCTGGCGTTGAACTTGTGCTCGGAATGTGTGGTGACTTTATGATCCACCCTGAGCTTTGTTTTGCTTTGCTTGACTGGCTTGTGACCCCTTGCTCTCCCCCACTTTGCCTATGGGGGTGTGTCAGAATATTATAGCTTATGCTGTTGTGTAGGCTATAGTGGGGTATCCCATAGGGGGTACAACCCAATTAGGGTTTCCTATATGTACTCACTTGATTCATAGTTCATTCATTCTCGTTCTACTTTTCTCATGGTATCGAGCAGGTTCCCTCGTGGGAACTGTTCCTAAGGCCCTACTATTGCTTCCGCTGCTACTCGATCTGTCGCACGCCTCGCGGCGTGCGACCTATTTTCATCTCAGTATATCGCACACACGAATGTCATTATTCGCTGAGACTCACGGTTGGTCTTCTTTTTGCAGGCTTTGTGCAAGCGCGTCGCGCAGGTCGATTATACTCGTAGAGTAATTTGGTGGACTGGAGTAGTTGCTTCTTTCACTGTGTTAGAATATAAGGCACCAAATTTATATGCCATTTCTGTCAGTACAAGCGATTTCTTTAGTGATGGTTAAAAGCAATTGTGTACAAGAACCATAAATCAAAATTATTACCTCGTGAACCGATTTCGACGTAGAGCATTGCACGCGTAATTGTAATCCAATAATATGTCGTTTTGCACGCATACAACTCGTCTCTGATTGGTCCACATGGCTAGCTGACGTTCACAGATCGATAGTGACATGTGGCAAAATATCTATGCGTACGTGACACAAATATCTATACGAACGTACCCTCGTACGTACACACTGAAGAAGAAACCGTACTCGTGTCACGTGGCATGCCAGAAAGGTTACATTGAAGTGACAACTAAGTATACGTCATGTTGCGCTTAGGTGTCCACTTTGCATCCAAAATGTGTCTGAAATGTATTGGAAGAGTTGCTGAAACTCAACCCAATTTCCCGATACTTTCGACCTTGACTAGAAAATTGCGGGAGCAGGTATCGTGAAAGTAACCTTTCTGCAAGTTTTTGGCAACAATCTCGTAATCCCTTTCCCGCGATGTACCTTCCTGATGTCAAACTTTTGTAGGAAAATGTCCGTTTGGGAAAAAGAGACTCGTAGTGCTGGAAGAGTTGAAACGGGAAGAGCGATCGCAGGAGGCGTATCCCACGGATTGAAGTAAGTGAACGGGGAAGAGGAGGGTAACGAAATGGGTTGAATGGGTTGAGCCAAACGAGATTTGGGCCCTGTTCGGCTGCAAAATTGCACGTTTTTTCCCATCTAGGTTCGGTGTTGTGCGGGAGGTCTGGTTCCGAACGTTGGGAAGTTCGGAAACCAAAGGCAACTTGTCGTCCTGACACCGTGGCAACACGTCAGCAAAATCTAAGGTGTATCTACAGTGTCCGAGCAAAGGACAGAGAAATTAGACCAGGCCACCGGACCTCAACGGCCAACATGAACGACCCAAAAATCCCTCCACACATCCAACTCACTCAGGTTTATGGCCCTGGGTCACCCCTCGGTCAGGCCTCCCACGGACGGAAAATCTGAAAAAAAAGTTGCTCCTGCTAGGTATGTCGAGGACGTTGCACTGGGCTGCTGTTCGTGTGTTCGCGGGGCCTTTTGCTGGCGATGCACATGTTTAAAAATACCCCCAATCTGGGCAGGAGGGCACTTGGGAGACGCAGGGTTTACCCCCCACGCTGCCCGAAACGGAAGTCTCAATTAGGCGGAACATGGGTACTCACGTTGAAAAGATGAGCAGCCATCTTCTGGCCTTCCCTTCTTGTGATTGGTCGTTGGCTGACTTCTGGGCCCACGTCAGGCTTGGGGTTGGGCGAGGGGTTCGGAGTTGTGTGGGGTGGGTAGCTCGGAATGAAGTCTTGTCGCACGGGGGTCGCAGGCGATTTTGGTGGTGCCGAACCAATCTCAACGGCCAACATGAACACTTTTCAGGCTCCCAACGGCCAAGATGACCTGTTTTTAGTGCTCCTGAAGTGCTGCCGAACAGGGCCTTGAATTACAAGGGGGATGGGAAAAAATTCACGCCTTGCGACGGGGAGGGGAAAGTTTCACGCCTTGCGATAGTTTCTGGGATGATCCGAGCCGAGTTGCATCGTTCGGCCGCTCGCACGGTCGCTCGTCCTAGGTGCCATAAAAACGCGCATGCTGAACCGAACCGAACCAAACAGAACCCACTGCTAGAAAGTCTGCCAGTGTCGACTGACAGTCTGCCAGCGTGGGCTGACAGTCTGCCAGTTCGAGTTGCCACTCGCCGTCCGTCAACATGGCCTTTCTGTTAGGTTCGCCTGAACGTTGTCAGTTGCACACACACTTTTGAGCACTGTTGGGAAAATTGAGGTAGGCGAACTCTCGCTGTAGAAACTTGGTAGTTACAGCCTGTCGCATGCTTCGCGAAGCCCAGGGTTCTTTGGTCGTCGTTGAGCACTGTCCATCTTGCCAGGACCCGCCTTGGCATTCTTGTTTTGCAGCATTCGACGTCCGTACAGACATCTGTACCTGCAGATTCATATGGTCAGTTCCAGCAGCAGATGGTCTGACTATCCCTGAGATAATACATGAAGACTTGGCATACCTTCGTAACCGATCTTGAAGTCAAGCTGAACAAAGCATACGTGGCTTCACTGTTCAATGGATGTGCTCATTTCACAGACCAACTCCCTTTTCAGAGACCGCAAGAACGAGCGAATGTCGACCCGACTTGAAAATGCGCGCTGCGTTGATTGCCAACCTTTCTTGCTTCTTGATTCGAATCCAACCTGCCAGACACACATAAAGCTCCTCTGTTGCTGGCAGTTCAGACCTAGTACTACGACTAGCACTGCAGTCGTAGATTCAAGTGACTGATCGCCATCTCAGTCAGCTCCTAAGAAACGAAACACTTTCTTTGTTCAGAGTTACGAATCAACATGGAAAAACGCCGCAGCGGCGCTTCAAGCGGTTTCGCTACTGCTAGCGGACGAAGTGCCGCGGGAGCGACATCATCGTTGCTGCTGGTCTTGTTCGCCGCGGTACTTCTGGGAGCGCCCTCTCAGACCCAAGCACCGCGGCATCCTGACGAGGACGCACCGCACGGCCCCCTGACACAACCCAACGCATGTCACCAGAAATGCAAGAAGATGTTAATGGGGTACTATATTGCCAAAGAAAAAGACACGAGGGCGTCGGGACCGACATTTATTCTCGGGAACTACAACTATGAGCGCTACATTCTCGACCCTGCAGCCGCGGATGTTGTAGATTCCGCATTGACATCCTGGGTAATCTCTTTATTCAACCCTACCACAGGAGGGATTCCCCCCTCCCGTACTAATTGCCTTCCTAACCAAACTCTTTGCGTTTCTTCCAACACAATGATCATTGTCTTGACCCGCACATCACAAGGGGCTGCAACTTCTGTTATAACTTGCCGCCGTATTATTCCCTCTCTCTTCGTGGCAGCCAGGTACTCCAGCAACACTGGAATGCTGTCAGCGCTGTGTCATGAAGGATGGCTGCAAGTACTGGCACCTGAAACCCCCAATGAACGGCCAGCCGTAAGCATCTCCATTGGAAAATCGCACTACACTTTGTCTATAATCACGTTCTGTTTTGTCAATCTCTTGTCCAGCCAGTGTACTGTTTTACTCACACTGCGTGGTAACTTAATCTGTTATAATGCTTTCACCTTGAGGAACGCCTCCGCATTTCTCACAAAACTATCGCCTCTCACTTCCACCCATCCCCTGCGGCTATCTTCTCACCCCCCTACCCATGACCCGAGCAGTGGCCAATGCACGATGCTGGGCTCACAGGCAGGCCTCACCGTGAAGAACTGGGACAAAAACATCCTACCAACGTTCTTCGGCGGAGAGTGCAACCCCCTTGCCAATACGAACGATGATCCGCATTTCCGGGGCGCAGATGGCACCCAATACGACTTCAATGGCCTTCTCGACCGCTCCTTCTGCTTGCTGTCCGACCGTCGGATCCACATCAACATGGGAATCAAGGGCTACCAGCCCATCGCGAATCTCCCTGGCACAGCGACATCATTGGACGAGGAGTCGCTCGCTGCAGCGCTGGAAGCGGCGGCCAATGAGAAGAAACCACGTCATATCAGACAGCTGGAGCAGGAGCAGCTGAGCGTGGAGGAACTGAGCGAGCTGGAGAGGATGCGGGCCAATGGGAGCCTGCCGTTGACTGCTGAGGTGGTGGCTGCTCTTGACCGGGAGATGGGTCGTCGCAGCGGCGGAAATGGAGGGGAAGAGGAGCATCACTCGATTCAGTATGAGAAGGATGAGCTGAAGAAGAGGCTTTTAAAAGCAAAACCGATTCGCAGTTGGATCAGGTACATTTGACCGTGCTTGCTTAAATCAGTTGTTTTCTTCGGTACAAGTAAAAACTGTGCACTGTTTTGCAGTTTTCCCTTCTGTTTTCACTTGTAATAATGCTCACGTTCCACATCAACGTTCGTACTTTGTGCCTTCCAGGGAGCTCCAAGTGATGTGGCGCGATTCGACTGGCGCGCAGCACTCTGTATTCATCAAGGCGCGAGACGGCAAGGAGCAAGGGAGGGGCAGCAGCGGGTTCATCGACCGACTGGAGCTCGACGGCTCGCCAGTGGCCCCGCCTCTGTCCGAAGGCTCTTCCATCACTGGCAGCGGCGGGTTCAAGCTGCTTCTGGCGGAGACACGGAGCTGCAAGGGGAAGGACGAGGACGAGTTTCATCTCACGATCGATGGACTGGTGGCCATGGGCATCATGGCACGTTTGGCGCATCCGCTCATGCAGACGGCTACAGAGGCCCAGGCGCATTTCAACGTCCACATTGCCCGGCTGAACGTGAGCAAAACTCTCTTTTCTTTCTTTTCTATGATTGTGATGGGCTTGCTGTGCCCGGCCATGTGCTTACACGATGACCAATTCTGGCTTCGAGCCTGATAACTTTTTGTCACATTGTCACAGGCAATCATCCTCGCTTCAACCATCTCCCTCCTCTATCCTCCCTCTGGACGCCCCTCTCCTCGTCCCTTCTGCAGCACACAAAAGGTAATCATGGCGTGTGTGCCCAGCTGCATGCTGCCATGATAACCATCTTCTCTGGGGTTGGGTGTGGTAACGTCTGTCACATTGCCCCATGAAACCGTCTTCCCTTCACCCATCTCCCTCCTCTCCCCTCCCTCTGGACGCCTCTCTCCTCGCCCCCTCTGCAGCACACGAGTGGCATTCACGTCCCATGCACATTGTCCCATGCACTCACCTTCCTTTCACCCAACTCCCTCCTCTGTCCCCTCCTCTCGCCCCCTTTCTCCCTCCTCCCCTCTGCAGCACACGAGTGGCATTCACGGCGTGCTGGGTCAGACCTTCCGAGCCGAGGAGTCCCGCAAGGTGCGCTCGCTGCGGTACCGCCTGCTGACCCGCCTGCTGCGCGAGCCGGTGGAGGTGGAGAGCGAGAGTGGCAGGGGATTCCTGGATGGGCGCACGGAGGACTACATCACCTCCGATATTCACTCCGCGGATTGCATGTATGCCGCTGCATGGCGCAGGGAGGAACACGAGAGCAGCGATGGAAGCGATTTCATGTGATGAGGGATTGTGCTGTGGAGTCACTTTTGGGTAAGGGTTTAGGAATATTAATCACCTTGTACAATGGTCAGGTATACAAGATAGCCTACTTAAATCAATAAGCATGCAGCTATAATGGCATGCCATATACAAATGGGAAGTTCATATGTTCCATGGTTTTTAGTCGTACGTATTATTGTGTGACATTAATTGTTCTATAAGCTCTCCTGTCCCAAGTTGGAACCAACTCAGTTAGAAACAAGTGCAGTGTGCATGCGCATTAGGGTCCATGTATTACCGTATGGCCCCGGATATGCCGTCCGATTAAAGGCGCCGGCGCCTCTATCTGGAGCATGGCGCTTATGGCCGTTCCTCGATTATAAGCGCCCCCCCTAGAAAACCTTAACATATTATAAGCGCACGTGTAATTTTAATCTAATTTCTTGCTTAAAACGGTAACGAAATACATTTTTGCAGCGAGTCAGATTTCAATTTCGCTTCGTTTGACTCGCGAAGACCTGACTGGCTTCGCGTCCAGTCAGGATGTGCTGGCATGACGTGTCTTCGCCTTTGTGTGAACCCAGAATATCGCTTGCACGAGATTCTGCTTTGCGACACTAAAACATTTCGACTCGGTTGAAATGGCAAGAAGTGTCAGAACATATAGCATATACATTTGTGTAGGCTGTAGTGGGGTAGCCCATATGGGGTACAACCCAATTAGGGTTAGTACTTGTACCCAACTCTTTCATAGTTGAATCATTCTCGTTTCAGTTTTCTCATGGTATCGAACAGGTTCCCTCGTGGGAACTGTTCCTAAGGCCCTACTACTGCTTCCGCTGCTACTCGATCTGTCGCACGCTCCGCGGCGTGCGACCGGCGCGCGTCGATTTTCTTTCTGGCGCGCGCCCCGAGGCGCGCGGCCCCGCTACCCCGTCGCGCCGCCCTCGCGGCCCCGATCCGCCGCCCTAGTGGCCCCGTCACCTACCCCTGCGGCCTCAGCGCTGCCCTTCCTGGCCCCGGCTCCGCCCTTCCCGGCCCCGGCGCCACCTCGGCTGGCCCCGTCGCCTGCCCCTGCGGCCCCGGCTCCGCCCTTCCCGGCCCCGGCGCCACCTCGGCTGGCCCCGTCGCCTACCCCGGCGACCCCGACGCCGCTCTTCCCGACCCGGCCCCGCCTCTGCTGGCCCCGTCGCCTAACCCTGCGGCCCCGGCGCTGCCCTTCCCGGCCCCGGCGCCACCTCTGCCGGCCCAAACGCCGCCCTTCCCGGCCCCGGCGCCGCCCTTCCCCGCCCCGGTGCCGCCTCTGCTGGCCCGGTTGCCTACCCTGCAGCCCCGGCGCCGCCTCTGCTGGCCCCGTCGCCGCTCCACCCGCCCCCCCCACCGTCCCCAAGCGGCCCCGCCGTCACCACCGAGCCGCCGGCGCCGCCGAGCTAGTGTCGAGCCACCCGAGCCGCCCGAGCCGCAGCGCCACCTCAGCCGCCCGAGCCGCCGGGTCGCCGAGCCGACGAGCTGCAGTTGCTGCCGAGCAGCCGTACCGCCGAGCCGCCGAGCCGCCCGAGTCGCCCGAGCCGCCGAGCCGCCCGAGTCGCCCGAGCCGCCGAGCCGCAGTTGCTGCAGTGCCGCCGTGCCGCCGAGTCGCCGAGTCGTCGAGCCTGCTCTTCCCACCACTGGTGAGCCCCTACCTTACTAGTGCGCTGCCTGCCGCTTGCTTGGCTGCCTGCCTTACTGCTGCTACTCCTGCTCCTGCTTCTACTGACGGAGCCGGATGCAGCCCCAGCGACGTCAGCGTGAGTCCCTCACGCCCCAGCAGCTGCGTGAGTGGTACGCTGGTTGGGGTTGTAGGGGTGGCGCCGCTACTACTGCTACTACTACTGGCAGCGGCCAGATGCAGCTCCAGCGACGCCCACGCGCGTCTCTCACGTCCCAGCAGCTTTGTGAGTGGTACGCTCAGAGTAGAGGGTCTCTCAGTTCTGTTCGCTGCTCTTACGTGATTCGCACTGGTGCTCGGACTGGTCAGACTTGTGGGACGCCTAGTCACACACCGTCCCGCTGCTTCGCCCGTCTGAGCGACGCCTGGCGTACCGAGTTTGGCGACGAGGCTGAGCTCCCCGACAGGGTGGAGTTGCTTAGGCAGAGGGTAGATATATTTGCTCTTGACTATGATGCTATTCTCACTGCCATGTATGCATTGCCTACTAGTGCTGACCGTGCCGGTCACCTGTGCGTACCGCCTGACCCGGGTGTAGAGCCTGCTGCTCTAGCTGCTGGTGCGGCTGGTGCGGCTGCTGCTCTGGGTGCTAGTGTGTCTCGTGCTCTAGGTACAGGTGCGGCTGCTGCTCTAGGTGCTAGTGAGTCTGCTTCCTCAGGTGCGGGTGAGTCTGCTCTCTCAGGTACCGCGTCGGCTCCGGCCTCCCACACCTTCACCCTTGACTCAGGGGCTTCCCGCTCCTTCTTTCGAGACCGCACCACACTCACGCCGCTTGGTCGGCCAGTTGCAGTCTCTCTGGCAGACCCCTCTGGGGGCCCTGTCCTTGCTCACTTCTCCACTGTCCTCCCGTGTCCGGCGGCCCCCTCTGGCACCCTGTCTGGTCTTTACCTCCCCTCGTTCTCTACGAACTTGGTGAGTGGTGCTGACCTGCAGGATGCGGGGGTTCACCAGTTCACTCCTGCGAGTCAGCGGGTGACCCACTGCACAGACGCTCGGACAGGCCGACACCTGGCCACGTTTACTCGTCGGCCGGGGTCGAGCCTGTACACACTGACCACTTCGTCTCCTCCAGTTGCTGAGTCTGGAAGGGTAGCTGCGTCGGGTCAGGTTTTTGCTGCAGCGTCCAGGTCTGGTCGTGAGTCTACCCCCTGTTCGTGTCGTCTCTTGTCTCACGAGACTCTCCTCTGGCACCACCGCCTTGGTCACCCCTCTCTGCTTCGGCTCAGAGGCATGGCCCCCCGTCTTCTTGTTTCTGGTCTCCCCCGGTCCCTCCCTCTCCTTCCTGAGGGCCCTGGCCCTACCTGTGTCGAGGGGCGCCAGCGTGCTGCCCCTCACTCCTCCCAGTTTCCTCCGACAGAGGCCCTGTTGCAGACGCTTCACATGGACGTGTGGGGCCCAGCCCGCGTCCGTGGACAGGTTCACGAGCGCTACTTCCTGCTCCTTGTTGACGACTACTAGCATTACACCGCAGTCTTCCCCTTGCGCAGCAAGGGTGATGTCACTGAGGTACTGATCGACTGGATCCGCGCAGCTCGTCTCTAGCTCAGGCAGAGCTTTGGCTCGGACTTTCCTGTGTTGCGTCTGCACTCGGACAGAGGTGGAGAGTTCTCCTCTGGCCTTCTGCGAGCCTACTGTCATGCACAAGGCATCCGTCAGACCTTCACGCTTCCGGACTCTCCGCAGCGAAATGGGATTGCTGAGCGCCGCATTGGCATGGTCATGGACGTCGCTGGTACGTCTATGATGCATGCGGTGCCCCCCACATCAGATCAACCTTCACCCCAGGGTCTCTAGGCCGGAGACCTCCCCAGCCTTGCTGTGGACGGGGAAGGTTGGCGATGCGTCGGCGTTCAGGGTCTGGGGATCTCGGGCGTTTGTCCGCGACTTGTCTGCGGACAAGCTGTCCCCTCGTGCTGCTCCTTGCGTCTTCCTGGGGTTACCCCCTGACGTGCCTGGGTGGCAGTTCTACCACCCCACCTCTCGCCGTGTTCTGTCCTCCCAGGACGTCACGTTTGACGAGTCGGTCCCCTAATACCGCCTCTTCCCCTACCGCACTCCGTCCCTCCCCCCGCCCCCACTCTTCCTTGTACCAGGTCCCCCCCAGGTAGACCCCCTCCCCCCTCAGGGTCCTGCCCCTTCAGGTATGTCCTAGGTAGACGCAATCGAGCCTGACGAGGTCACTGGTGACTCTTGTACTGCTGAGGGTGCTGAGCCTAGGGGTGCTGAGCCTGGGGGTGCTGGGCCTGGGGGTGCTGGGCTTGGGGGTGCGGAGCCTGGGGGTGCGGAGCCTAGGGGTGCTGAGCGTGGGGGTGCTACGCCTGGGGGTGCTGAGCCTGGGGGTGCTGAGCTTGGGGGTGCTGGGCCTGGAAGTGCTACGCGTGGAGGTGCTTTGCGTGGGGGTGCTGGGCCTGGGGGTGCTGAGCCTGGAGGTGCTCCGCCTGGAGGTTCTCCGGGTGCTTCGTCTCGCCGGGAGCGACTCTCTCCACAGGAGCTGCGCGAGTGGTTTTCCCGGCGCTGGAGCCGTGCTGCTGGTGCTGGAGGTTCTTCGGCTACTAGGGGTGCTGAGCCTAGGGGTGCTGAGCCTGGGGTTGCTGAGCCTGGGGTTGCTACGCCTGTGGGTGCAGAGCCTGGGGGTGCTGAGCCTGGGGGTGCTGAGCTTGGGGGTGTTGAGCCTGGGGGTGCTACGCCTGGGGGTGCTTTGCCTGGGGGTGCTGGGCCTGGGGGTGCTGAGCCTGGAGGTACTCTGCCTGGAGGTTCTCCGAGTGCTTCGTCTCGCCGGGAGCCCCTCTCTCCACAGGAGCTGCGCGAGTGGTTTGCCCGGCGCTGGAGCCGTGCTGCTGGTGCTGGAGGTTCGTCAGCTACTGAGGGTGCTGCTTTCGCGGGTCCCAGAGGTGCTCGTCCTCGGAGTAGTGGAGCTGCTGGGCCTGCAGGTTCGACTGGAACTGGTGCTGCTGAGGGTGTTGGCGCTGAGACCACCATTGGCGGTCCTGCTGGGGGTGCTCCTGGTGCTGCTGGACGTTCTGGAGCTGCTGGAGGTGCTGCTGGAGCGGGTGCTCCTGGTGGAGGTACTGGTGCTGTCCCTGCTGTTTCTGGCGTCGCCACGCGGCCTCGACCGTACTTCGTTCCACTCCTGTAGTAGGTTCTTGGTCTTCAACCTTCTACTGGTCCTCCTCCTTCTTCAGAGTGTCCACAGCCTCTCCCGTCACAGTTACAGCTGCAGCCTACCTCCCCTTTGCCTGCTCCTTCTCCCTACACTGGTTCTACTAGAGGTCTTGCTGAGCGTCGTGAGCCTGCGTCTCGCCCTACGTCGCCTGTCCGTGCTGCTCGCGCTAGTGGTCGTGGTTCGCGTCCGCGTCCTCCTCCTGTCCCTAGCACGCACAGGATGTCTCTGCGTCCGTCTACTGCTCCTCTGCGTGCCCCTTTGCCTTCTCCTCCTGAGTCCTCTCTTCCTGCTCTTGCCGACCCGGAGTCGGACTCTCTTCATGCTGCCAGTCCTACTGTCACGCGTCTCCTTGCTACTGTCGTCACTGACCCTTCTTTCGAGTCTACTGCTGCGTCTGCTCTCGTTACTGAGCTCGTCGACTTTGCTGCTCGCTGTCGCCTAGACTACGCTGCTAGTCTTGTCGCTGAGTCTGAGTCTGTCTGTCCTCCGTCCGTCGGGGGTGAGTGTGCCCTTGGCACGGACGTCCTTGAGGACAGGCAGGAGGAGTTCCAGTGTCTGGCAGCTGCTTCGCCTCATCTCGTGTCCGTACTGCTTACCCCAGAGGGAGACCTGGATGCACTTGCGCGGAGGCGATAGAGGGTCCCTACTCCTCTCAGTGGCAGGCAGCTATGGATGCAGAGATGGCTTCCTGGAAGTCCACAGGCACCTACGTTGACGCTGTCCCCCCTCCTAGGGCGAACATTGTGAGTGGCATGTGGATTTTCAGGGTGAAGCGGCCGCCGGGTTCTCCGCCTGTCTTCAAGGCGCGTTACGTGGCTCGTGGCTTCAGTCAGCGGCAGGGAGTTGACTACTTTCAGACCTTCTCCCCCACCCCGAAGATGACCACTCTTTGGGTACTGCTGCACGTTGCTGCTCACCGTGACTACGAGCTGCACTTTCTCGACTTCAGCACAGCGTTTCTTGCAGGGCAGCCTACTCGAGGAGATCTGGCTGCGCCGCCCACCTGGCTTCACTGGGTCTTTCCCTCCTGGTACCCAGTGGAGTCTCCGGCGTCCAGTCTACGGTCTCCGCCAGGCGCCACGTGAGTGGCACGACACACTGAGGACTACGCTTGCGGCCCTTGGGTTTGCTCCTTCTACTGCCGACCCGTCGCTGTTTCTGCGCACCGACACCTCTCTGCCGCCGTTCTACATCCTCGTGTACGTCGACGACTTGGTCTTCGCCACAGCTGACACTGCTGGACTCGCCTACGTGAAGTCCGAGCTGCAGAAGAGACACACGTGCATAGACCTGGGTGAACTGCGTAGCTACCTTGGCTTGCATATCACCCGGGACAGAGCATGCCGCACCATTACCCTGACTCAGTCACACATGGTGCAGCAGGTCCTTCAGCGCTTCGGCTTCACGTACTCCTCGCCTCAGGCCACTCCTCTGCCTACTCGCCACTCACTCTCAGCTCTGCCTTCGGATGAGTCCGTAGAGTCGAGTGGCCCATATCCAGAGCTTGTTGGCTGCCTCATGTACCCGATGACCTGCACACGACCTGGCCTTGCATACCCTCTTAGCATTCTTGCACGCTATGTTGCTCCTGGGAGACACCGACCAGAGCACATGGCTGCAGAGAAGAGGGTGTTGCGCTACTTGTGCAGTACGTCAGGCATGGGGCTAGTGCTAGGAGGGCGGAGTCCAGTGGTCCTCACTGGGCACGCAGACGCTTCTTGGGCTGACGACCAGGCTACGCAGCGGTCGTCCCAGGGTTACACCTTCAGCATTGGTTCCGGCTTTGTTCCGTGGTGGGCTACTCGCTCGTCTTCTGTTCTACGCCGGGGCCATGGCTGCACAGGAGCTTCGCTGGCTCACCTACCTGCTGACTGACCTTGGAGAGCCGCCTCGTTCTCCTCCAGTCCTATACGTAGACAACAAGGCCATGCTGGCCTTGTGTCGAGAGCAGAGACTGGAGCACAGAACAAAGCACATTGCTCTCCGCTACTTCCTTGCTCGTGAGCTACAGCAGCGTGGTCAGTTGCGGCTTGCATACATGGCCTCTGAGGCCAACACTGCTGATGTTTTCACCAAGGCACTTCCGCCTTGTGATCATCAGCGCTTCTGCACTCAGCTGGGTCTTGTCCCTGTCTTGCCTCACTTGCTGACCCCTTGACCTTGTTTGTACTGTTTCATATATATATACCTGCTCTTGCTTGTCTAGCCTTATATATATATGTAATCCTGCATGTGAACTGGCCTTATGGCCTTGAACTTGTGCTCGGAATGTGTGGTCAGTTTGTGATCCACCCTGGGCTTGCTTTGCTTGACTGGTCTTGTGACCCCTTGTTCTCCCCCACTTTGCCTATGGGGGTGTGTCAGAACATATAGCTTATACATTTGTGTAGGCTGTAGTGGGGTAGCCCATATGGGGTACAACCCAATTAGGGTTAGTACTTGTACATAACTCTTTCATAGTTGAATCATTCTCGTTTCAGTTTTCTCAAGAAGAAAATGAACAACTTGGTGCTCTAAATATATAATTTCTTATCTTTCATTATATATGCGCCGACGCTTATGGCCGTTGCTCGATTACAAGCGCCCCCCCTAAAAAAAATGTTTTTTTTTTTTTTTTTAATAAGCGGATATGCACTACTATCCGCGGCCATACGGTACTCCTATGGATCTGACAATCAAATGTTATAGAAAGTAATTTATGGTAGATATCCACATTCATGGTGCATTACTGGCCAACCACTCCCTCTTCCCTCACTCCAATCTCTCTCCTTATCCTTCATGCCTCAGTAAACATTAGGCATGATATCCACCCTTCGCTCGTCACCACTGAATTCTCTGACGCAATGTGGTACACGCAGCAGCTTCCCTTGGCTTAGCCATCCAAAAGGGCTGAGAACCTTGACGACCTTTCCTCCAGCAATGCTTGCGGCGAAGTTGCTCGCAACTATCTGTCTGCCAGCAGCATGACCCTGTGGCAATTTCCACCATTCGATTTGGCCTTGTCCAACACAAGCGCAGGTGAGCACCACAGCAGCATACGCACCAGACACTGCAGCTGCCTCTGCCCCACACTCAAGCCCCCCCTCCCCCTCCGCCATCGCAGTGTCGAGCTGACCTGGTAACCCCCTCATTACACCCCACATCCCCATTGCATCCCTCCTCCCTTGCCCTCCCGCGCCACTTCCAACTCTCCCGTGCCTTGCTACGGCACTGTGGGATCAAGGTACCACCAAATACTGCCGAAAAAGTCCACCGCGTCTTATGGCACCGCTGGGAGGTGAGACATAAGTCCCACAGCCTGATCACTATAATCTATGCCTTTAGATCCACTATTCGATACAATGACATGGTTAGCAATGCCCTTGCACCCACACACCCCCTTTTTTTAACAAACCTGGGCCAAGAAGATGAGTCCTTTCAGGATGAAGGGCAAAGCTTGGCAGTACCTCACCACCACTTTTCCTCTTCTAACACTCCTTGATGCGGACAGTCCGCAGGCAGGCTGAGAGTTTCGACACATACAGTGGATCCTGATCACGTCCCCCCCATCTTGGCACCGCAATAGATGGTTTGGGAGGCACTTGTCTCCTATCGTCGCGTTGCTACGTTTGCAAGGGCATACTTCAGCCACTGGGAGCTCCATGCCTAGGCGAAGGCCGAGGGCCAACGAGAATTCACCAGGGGAAATGGAGAGGTCACCTCTCATTAGGACCACATGCAGCCAATCTCCCGTGCCCGTCCCTTTCAGGCTTATCAGCCGCAGCGCATGGCCTCTGTTGGAGCCAGGCCGGTCCACCACTGTGTCCCCCAAGAGTTCCACCACCCGTTGCTGGTTGATGAGCTTGGAGAGGCACAGCTGGAGGCTGCCTGCGCCCTTGTTCCCTGACCTGTAGGCTCCCAATGCCACCTGTACTTGCGCCGGCAGTCCCTCCTCCAGGTGGGTCAGTGTGTTGATGTCCGGGGACGGTGGGGACCAATTGTGGGAGATGAGGGTAGTTGCTCTGTGTAGCAAGCAGTCCGGGGGTAAGTTTAGGTGCTGCAGGAGGGTATGTGCCGCTGTGATGGAGGCGATGTAGGCAGCCGGGGCCTCCGAGATGGGGTCGATGATGCCCAAGCCGCCGAGCCAAATCAGAAGGGTAGCCTGGCGCCATAGTAAACCCAGTTCTAGCTTAGAAGTTGGGATGCGGAGCTTTGCGGCCGTGAGTGCCGAGCCGACCAATGCCTCACTCCATTCCTCGGTGCTCAGGTTCGTCGCCGGTGTCGTCCACAGCATGTAAGAGATGCGGCGGGAGATGCTGCGCGAGACGATCAACATGACATGTTGCGGGTTGAGCCGAGCGACGAGGGAAAGTGGTGAGGCAGCTTTCTCCAAGGCGATTAGACGTAAAGGCAGTAGGAGTTTCCTCGCGTGGGAGTCCTAGAAGGTGTTGAGCAGCTGATTTACCACCTTGACAAAAAACAGCAGCAACTCTTCTCTGAGGTGCTCGAAACAATTGCTAGAAGGCCCAGCACCAACATTGTTTGGGCACTTCACTGGGATTTCGCGAAGCGAGTCCAGCGAGACTGCCAGTTCAAAGTGTGTGATTCCTGTAACCCAAGCTGGTATCAGAATTCCCGCCACAGGGCGTTTCGTTAAGAGGGCTTCGCGAGTAGCCGGTGTTGCTTCAGCGAGAGGACTTGTTCGCAACGCTGCTACTGCCTTCGAGATATTTCATTTTTTCACCAGCCCTTCAGCTCTGACACAAACTCCGTCCTCGTCTGCTTGGTCTCGTTCAAAGGCTCTTGTGCTGCACATGACCCCTGCTTCCTCGAAAAGCTCGGCCCAGTCACCTCGTTGAAATTTGTGCAGCCGTGTTTCAATTGCTTCCAGCGACTCCCCAAAACAGGTTCGAGTGCCGGCCTAATGGTGAGCCTTGGCAGGAACAGCATCACCTTCCATCCACCTAGGCAGCTAGGATTCTTGTCTAGGCAAATGAGCGTTGCCAGCATGCACAGACAGTATCTGTCCAGGAGTTGTGGTGGCAGCCGGCGGACAAGAAATGGCTGGTCCCCCCTCTGAAGCACGTCGACGTTCCACTCCCCCGCCATGTGCTAGATGGCATCGTCGCCTGCCAGGTCTGCCGGTGAAGGCACGTCCGTCTCCTTCGTGGCAGTATCTCCTTGTTCCACCCTATTTCTTGGAAGGCCCGTCGCTGCCTCCCTTGCTTGGGGTTCTGGGTTGTTCCTCCTGGGTGTGGACTCGTCATCCAGGAAGATTTCCTCTGAGGCCTCCTCCTCTCCTGCCATAAGTTCAGGGTCAACTCCGGAGTGGTCAAAAGCCTCTTGGTCCTCGTTCCTCTGCGAGATCACTCTCTCAGGCCTGGCGTGACGCTCCCGCCAGGGGCCAGTCCTCACGGGGATCTTCGCTCTAGGTGCTTGGTTCCGCCCTCCCCTTTCGCCTCTCATCCCCCCGCGTAAAACCCCTCGGTGTGCCCGTCCAGCCGCTCCTGCCGTATCTACCGCGCCATTACCGCCGCGACCTGCTGGCATCCACGGCGTATGTCCGCCTCGTGGCGGGCCCCAGGTGATCGCACCAAGCCATGCCGAGCGTCTGGTGCCCGCAGCTGCTGTTGTGTCCCTTCCAGCTCCCCATGGCATCGTCGCCGCTTCCTGTGCTCCCCCGTTGCCCCCGCCCGGATTCTCCGGCGCCTGTGTCGTTGGTGTGTGCGTAGCTGCCCACGCGGCGGCTGATGGTGCGGGCGCGCAACCTTGGGATGGCGACCGACGCTCTGGCTCTCATGGTGGTTGCCCTTGCAGAAGCCAGCCCAGGAGGGGTCACAAGATACTAGGTCCCAGTCCTACTCCGGGCCGCCTCGGCGCTGGCTGGGCGCGAAAGATCCTCCCACCCCTCCCACGAGCGGCGTGCGCAGCGGCTCCGGTCCCGTGACCCATTGTACCACCCGCCCTCCGGTCGTGCCCCTGCGTGTCTGCACCCACGGCAGCATCAGGCGTTTCGGCGGACTCAACGCTAGCCGCCACGCCTCCCTCCCCTGGGCTCGCGTCCCTTAACGCCGCAGCAGCCGTCTCAGCAGCTGCTGGTGCCTGTTCCCGCACAACTGCCGGTCCCCGCCCCACAAACCGCGGCACCGCTGCCTGGAACGAGGCAGCGTGTGAAGCTGAGTCGCCGCCAAAAGCAGCAGCATTTCCGGCAGCCCCCTCCGTCTCCACCTCAAACCCCGCTGCCGCAGTTGCTGATGTCGCCACCCCTGCCGCCCCTGTCTCAGCCTCAGCGCCCCCCGTCGGTCCCCAGCCGTTGGTTTTGCCACCCGTGCCGTCTCCATCTCTCCAGCCACAGCAGCTGCCTCGGTCTCCACAGCAGCGCGGCCCCAAGCTCAGCAGCATCAGCAGCCTCAGCCAAACCAGTTCCTGCTACCCCAGCCTCAGCTGCATCAGCCGCCGCCGCCGCCGCCTCCTCCACAGGTGAAACTTGCTGTAAAACCGTAGATTCCTTCAACGAGCGGATCTGTAATGCCGATGCCACCTAGCAATGTGGGCAGCGACGCCTGCTCCCACACACGTGCTTGCTCAGTGCGGCAAGTTGGCATGCGGATGTCGCAGGAGGTGAGTAAGGTAGTGAGCAGGTCCCGACCCCACTGGCTCCAGGTGTCGCGGGGGAGTAGGTGGAGCGGTGTCGTTCTAATGAGGTAGGCTACTCGTCTAGAAATGCATCGCGTGAGTAGAAGCGCGGCTACTTGGGGGTCAGCTCGTTCTATTAGTGGCAGCGGCTTTGTCATCTCGGCTAGCTGTTCGGTTAGGAACTTAGCTGCTCCGGCGTCCGTCCCCACGTAGCTACCAAGGAGTCGTACCCCGTCCGTTGAAACCGGCACCCCGGGTGGGAGTTGCGCTTGTGTGACTGTCCTCGAGCTCGAGGCCGCACATTTCTGCGGATTATGTGTCAGGCCCAGGCGTGCCAGCTTGGCTGTGGAGTCTGTGAAAGCTGCTACAGTGCACGAAGTGTCACCTAGGAAGGTGACATCGTCCGCATATGCCAAGCAGAGCACGTTGGGGTGTGCCTCTGTAATCTCACGGAGCGTGGGGTGTATTCCCGCTGCAAACAGTAACGGGCCGAGTGGATCACCCTGCCGAACGCCCCGTTCACTTTGCAGTGGTTCGCTGTTGAAATCAGTGTCGAGGAACAGCTGCGGCGGGTTACCGTACGTCAGTTTTACAAATGGCTGTAGTGGCGAGAGTCCGGGCTCTTGTAACGCAGTGGCAATGGCATGTCGCGAAATGCTGTTGAATGCGTTCGATGTATCGGCTTGCAGGACCAGGCTGTTGGGACGGGCATCCAAGAATGCCCTGGCTGCGTGTATTACCGCCTCTGCTCCACCTGGCACTGCCACGCCGTACTGAATTGGCAGGAAATGTTCGCGTGCAGCTTCTCCCATGGCTATCAGGGCTGCCTTGGCTGTCAGCCTTGTCAAACATTCGCCTATCGCAATTGGCCGGGCTCCTCCCCCAGGCTTGGCCAGAGCTATGAGCCGTGACTCGGTCAGGATTTTTGCGACCGGGCCTGGCAAATTCCCTCCGAGAATGGTATTGACCAAGGCGTGCAGATGGGTGCTAACCATTCCGTTGGCGATCGCCGCGTCACGTAGGTGCTCAAATGTCATACCCGAAGGTCCGGCCCCTACCCCGTTCTCGCACCTTCCAAGAATCTTGGAGAACTCAGCATGAGTGATGGAAAGTTTTGACTCTGGTGGCTCAGGCCAGGTCACTGCTTCGGGTACTGCTGGCGGATGCTTCTGTCGCAGGTCTTCTAATATTTCCTGGCTCGGGGTGCAGACGGGTGTTGACTCCAGGGCCAGCACGGCCCTGCGTAGGCTGCCACGTTTCGCCAGGCCCTCGGCTCGGCTGATGACTCCGGTCGTGTCAGGCTGGTGTCGTGGCGGTGGGGGTGTGTTGACCGCGTCGACCGCGTTCTGGTATAGCTGCCCCCATTCGCCGCGCTGAAAGGCTCGGAGCTGGGCTTTGACCCACGACCAGTTCGATCGTTGTGGCGAGGTCTGGCGAAGTGTTAGGCGCGGGAGGAACAGCAACAGGCACCAACCCTCCTCGGATTCAGGGTTTCGCGATAGGTGGAGTAACGGTGTCAGTAGCGCCAGCGAGAACAGTTGGCACAGATTAGGCGGTAAACGACGTGTCACCGAAGGCTGGCGACTGTCGCAGAGTGCCGCGATGTCCTAGCTTGAGATTGTTGCGAACAGGTCTGCTCTCTTCGCCAGTTCGTTAGGGGAAAAATAGCGGGGAGTCGGAGTGGTTTGGCGCGTTGCGACATTGGTAGTAGTGGTCTGATTTCGTCGAGCGCGACCCGTCCGCTCTGGCAGGATTGGGGTTGGAATTTCACCCGTTCGATTGGCATCGGACAGTCGCTGAGCCGCCTGTGCTGCTTGCGTGGGCAAGAGCCCTACCCGCGCTACTCCTCTTCCCGCTGCCTCCCGTGTACTGCCTTCGTCCTCGATCCCCTCGTCTTCGCTCGGAGGGAGGGATTCTTCCCTATAAGGTGGGTCCCTTATCTCGTCATCCTCATTATCCTCATAAGTTGCCTCCAGAGCCGTTAAAGCCCTACGCCCCGCCGCTTGATACCCGTTTTCCGGACCTCCGCCTGCCCCGCTTGTAACCTGCCTCCTGGCCCCGCTGCCTCCCCGATCTCCAGATGGTGATTGCTGGTGCATCTGAGCCATCGCCAGTGCGCGCTGCCGCCTGGTCGGCTGTGGTCACCCAGCCTCAGTCGGGGCCCGGAAAGGCGACCACGCCGATGGAGCCCCCTGTACCGCCGGCTCCGACGCCCTCGATAACAGTCGCTGAAAAGACTCTTCCCCACGCACCCGCGGATCCCCTTGCCGTGTCGGGATCTGGCCCGTCTGTTCCTGCGGCTGCTCCGTCCGCTCCGCCGGCTTCTCCTGTTCCCCCGATCCTCTTCGTGGAGCCGTTGGTGCCTGCTCCTGCTAGGGGTATTGCTGATTCCCCAGTTCTTGGCCATGGGGCGCCGGTTGCACCGCCTGCTTCCGTCCCCGACGCGCCGGCACCGGCTTCTGTTTCGTCGACGAATGCGGCGTCCGCCACCACTGGCGGCCCGGCTCCGTCGGTTGCGCCCTTAGCGGCGCCGCAATCCGCGCCTGCTGCAGCGACAGTGGACCCGGCTGGTCAGCCGGTACGCCCCCCGTCGCCTGACCGCCGACCGTCTCGCCCTCATTCCCCCTCGCCTCACCAGGATCGCAAGTCGTCTCGTCGCCGTCGTGATTCTCCGCGGCGATACCAGCAGCAGCCCCACTGGCCTGCTCGCCGCGGTGGTCAGGGGGACTGGAGGGGTCCCCGCGGGCGCGGTGGTGGTGGGGGGTACCGCCAGCCGGTGACGATGGCAGATCTTCAGCGGGAAGTGTCCCGGGCCGTTCGCGAGGAGAGGGCGGCGCATAGCCAGAGCAGTTCGCCGCGGGCTGCGCCGGCGCGCGTGGCTCCTCGTCCGCCTGTGCCTCCTGTGGTCCCTCCGCCGACTGCTCTACTTCCTTCCCCTGTCCTCGTCCCGTCTGCTCCCTCTCCCTCTGTAGCGGCGCCAGCTCCCGGCTCTCGTCTGCATCTGCCGACGGTTCCGCCTGTTGCGGGGGTGGAGTTTGTGGCCGCGGGTGGTGGCGCGGCAGCGGCTCAGTATGCAGCTGATGAGCCGCTCCAATTCCTGGCGGAGGCGCTTCAGCCTCCGCAGACGCGTGTTCCCGAATCGACTCTCGGGCAGCTCCACCGCCTCGCCGAGAGTCTCCACGCGTTGCTGCTGATACAGGTCCTTGCTCACTCCTCACTCCCTGTGGTCCCTCCTGAGACGTTTCGCGACCGTCCACGCGAGACATTCTTGGATGCGGCGGACCAGCTCGCCGTGCTGTTGGCGCCCGTGCTGGCTGCGCCCGCGGAGGGTGGCGCTGCTGCTGCGGGACAGCCGGACGAGGCTGTCCGGAGCTTGAAGCGGCATTTGCGCGCTGGATCTGGAGCCGCGGCGATCGGCGCAAGTACGCTGGTGGTCCGGGAGCTGTGGCGGACCCTAACTGGCATTCTCCATGCCCTTGGAGCACACCGGATGTAGATCCGGCCTCCGCTTGCCCCTGTGTTGCCATTAGTGCTTAGGATTATGTTGATGCCGCCATAGTTTGTATGACGTTGCTTGCAGTCGATCGTGTGCGTGTGTCTTTGCCACCCCTCACGCACGGCCGAAGGCCGCGCTGTCGAGTGTCGGCCGCCGAAGGCGGCCGGCGCGAGCCGCTCGGTTAGGAGAAACAAATGAAAAGAGAACCGAACAATGAAGAGAGCTAGCTGCAGAGGAGCACTTTATACTAGGCTGGAGAGTGCTGGAGAGGCTAAGGACTAGCTCCTAGGGCCTCTCTCTCTCTCTCTCTCTCTCTCTCTCTCTCTCTCTCTCTCTCTCTCATGGTCCTTTTATTGATATAGCAGTCAAGTACAGGCAGGCAAGTTATAGTGGCCTAGATAACAAGCATGCTGGTTGCAAACATCGCCGATCTACAACTCTACAAGGGGCTCAATCAGTGCAAAGCATTCCCCTAGATGCAACTCATCCCCAATTCCTCCCACCGGCGGGTTCTCAACCGCCGCCGCCTCCCCAAGCTTGAGCAGGAGGCCTACAGATTGGGCCCTTTGCAGGGCCACAGACCAGCGCTGCCTGAACTGGTGCAGGAACTTTGCAGCATAGAACGATTTAGAGTCGGCGTTGAAGTGCCGCCGAGCTGCAGTGTCCGCTAAGAGCTTCAAAAAGGCTGGTACCTCCGCACACGGGCAGCCATAGGTGTCCACAGCCAGGGGGAAGAAGGTCACCGTCTCTGGTAGGGAGGCGTAGTGCTGGATTTTCTTGTCCGCTTGCTCCCGGGCCGCCCAGCCCCTGCCCTTCTGTGCCTCCGGGTCCCTTGTGCTAATGGGGTCGGTGATGGTGACATCACATACATAGACGGCCCCACTGCTCCTGTCCGTCTCTCTCTCTCTCTCTCTCTCTCTCTCTCTCTCTCTCTCTCTCTCTCTCTCTCTCTCTCTCTCTCTCTCTCTCTCTCTCTCTCTCTCTCTCTAATGGCCCGTATATTGATATGGCAGGAAGGTACACACATATAGTTTCAGAAGCATGCGAGATTCAGACTAATCCCTCTAGAGTTCCACCAGTGGCTCCAAAACAGCAAAGCAATCCCCTAGGTGTAGCTCATGCCCAATACCCCCGACCGGAGGGTTCTCAGCTGCTGCAGCCTCACCCAGTTTCATAAGCAGGCCCACTGACTGCGCCCTCTGAAGGGCAACCGACCACCGCTGCCTGAACTGATGCAGAAACTTGGCGGCATGATAGGAGTTAGAGTCGG